AGGATCTAGGTTCAGTTCCCAGCAACCATATGGTACCATGAAGCATGCTCACAAGCATGAAGAGTTTAGCTCAAAACCCAAGCACTTGTGCAAAATCTGGGAATGTCTGTGCACATACTGTGACTCCAAGTGCTGTGGCTAGAAGAATCACTGGGGCTTGTTGGCCACCAGCCTAGTTGTAGTTTCAGTGACAGACTCTGACTCAAGGTAAAGAGTGAAAGAAACAAGATATTGCTGTCTTCTGGCCGCTGCATGCACACTCAGGTGCTCACATCTGTAATATGCACATGTAACACACACACACACACACACATGCACGCACACACACACACACGACAAAAGCTAATGAGTGTTGGCCAAGGCAGGGTAAAGGGAGCCATTATAAACTGTTGATGGATGAGTAGAGCAACTACAAAACAATTTGGAGGTTCCCCAAGATCAAAAAACAAAATTGTCATATGATACATCAATGGCAGCTTTGGATATAAAGCAGAAAGACATGTAGACTGAATACTGTAATAATAACTATACTCCCAAGTCTATTGCAGACATGTAGACTGAATACTGAAATAATAACTATACTCCCAAGTCTATTGCAGAAACATTCAAAATAGTCAAGAAATGAAGTCAACCTAAGCTTGTTTTCTTAAAGAGGCTGGAAGAGAAATCTGGGCCATTAGCTAGCCACACTTTGATACTCACTGATGAAAAGACCTTCTCAAGTATGACCCTCAATACTTAATGCTGGTGCACCAGTAATGGCTTTCATGAGCACATTCCATTACATTGATGGCACTTTGACAGTGGCCCTCACCTAGGATAATATTCTCAGTATGATGTTTGTTCTCTCACTGTAAAGGCTATCCACATGTGGCTGGGCACTAAATGAGGGTGGAGCCTGGATTCAAGCTACTGAAGTTCATATTTGGGCACTGTGGAAATAGCAACCCAAAAGGATATTTTATATCCCAATAAAGGAAAAATACTGGCCTCAAAGCTACTAGCTGCAAAAGAAGGCTTATGGCCCGTTTGTTCTCTTAAGGTATCAGAAACTGTATATCCACACCTAGGTATGTTATTCAAACATGTGAACCAATTCACCACACTGGTAGCCAAATTTGAGTAGAGACACCTGTGCCCAAGCCTCACAATCAATACCATAAAACATTACCTGCTATTCCCAACCATTTTGATCCCTTGGTGTTCATGTATCTGTGACTTCCTTCACCTCATCCAATATTCCAACCAGCAGAAGTTTACTGAATCAAGTCTCATAAGGTAGGGATTGGGAAGGATCATATCATGGGGATCCAATCATATCTGATCAGGAAGATAAATCACATTAATAATTTTTATTTTTTTAAGTTGTGTGTGTATGCACACATGCACACACATGCACCACAGTATGTGAATGGAGATCAACAGACAACATGTGCCAGTCAGTTCTTTATATCCACAATGTGGGACCCAAGGATGAAACTTAGATCATTGGGCTTTGGGGGGGGGGCAAGTGGTTTTATATATATATATATGTGTGTGTGTGTATGATAATTTGAAATATATATCTTTTATGGAAGCATGAAATCTAAGTGATTAACAAGTACAGCACATCATTTTAAACTGATTTGGAATTATTACTTCAGTGAAACAAGGTATTTTTAGGTAATCTGAATCTGTAATCCTGGGTCATGGTTATTCATATTTGGCTCCAAAATAATGGATGTCTGTTCCCTATGTGGCAAGAATCGAGTTTTTTGCATTAACAGCTTTTGCCACCAAAGTGTTAGACTCCAAAGATGATTCATTTTCACCGAGAGTCTCTCACATAAGCACCAGATACCAGCCTTGTCTCCTTGTGCTCAACTACTATTTCATAGGGAAGCTAAGACATGTCTAGTGACTAATTATCAGTTTATAGATGGTAGCAATTTTAAGTGCTTCTGAATAATTTAAGTAGAGATTCTTAAGCTATTATTTAATAAATCACAAATTGGTTGGGAGATTATTTTCAAAAGTTTTTTTTTTTCCAGACAAGAAGTAGCAAAGGTCTAAGGCTGTTAATTCAGGAATAGGAGAGATGGGCTTAGGAGAATTTTGAAGTAATAAAGAATCAAAAATAACCTGGAAGTTGAGTTGAAGGTATCACAAAGGAAATGAAAGCATGGTTTAGTTAAAAAAAAAAAAAGACTAAAGTTAAATTTATGTGTGCAGCTGCCCTGATGTATCCTGCTATATTCAGAAGACATTGTTTCCTTGTAGTAATGCACTTCCTCTGTCTCCTTACAGCTCTCTGACCTCTTTTCCACAGTACTCCCTAAACCTGTTAAGTCATTAGGGGTCAGTTTAATACCATATCAATTTGGCAGAATGATAATAGTATGTTCTGTCTTAGTGTCTCTGACCTGTGTAGCCCTAGGTTCTTGGCTTGACAAGGGTGCCAGGTATGGGTTTCATCTTGTGGAATGAACCTTAAATCCCATCGAAAGTGATTGGTTATTCCTTTATCTGTATCACTTTGTGCCAATTATCAGGTTAGTCATTATTATCACTTGCTGAGTTCATAGCTGGGTAAGGTGACGATTCTTCTTCTCGGCAACATTGTGCACACTTTCTAGCACCTTGAAAGCTATCCAGTAGGAATGAAGCTTTCAGATAAGCACCAGAATTATTTCCCCATGTTCTATGATTCAAGTATGTGTTTCCTTCAGCAATAGGGCTTACTCTCCACTTCTGGATGGCAACCAAGAATATTTGTAATACTCTGAGATGTTTAGGAGTCTATGGGACCCTACTGTCCAGCAACTGTGAAAGAAGTAACTCCTTCCTGGTATTGAGATTTTTAAAATTATTTTTATTAAACTTAGTTTTTGTGAGTATATACACATACAACAGCATGTGTTTTGCAGTCAGCAGAAAACTTCCAGGAGTCTGTTCTCTCCTTCCACCATGTGGAGCCCAGGAATCAAACAGTATGAGAACTGTGGTCTGGGGGGAGCAGAAAGGGGATATCCATCCTAGGAAGGGACCTTGATGTTGGGTTAGTCAGTATGAAGCTAAAGTAAGTCTGGTGGGTGTAGACTCATTGAAGGTGACACTGTCTTTCATAGATACTAACCAACCTCCTCACATGTGTGTTCATACATTATAGAATCTAGAAAACTTAAAACTAAAAACTGAAATTTTCAGATTCCTTTGCATACCAGGTTTGGGTATTGTTTAAGTACAGCCAGTAAGATATAATTACATTATGCTTAAAGGGAGGTGTGAGTGCACATGGAAAGGGAAACAGCAAAATGGATATAATGTAACCATTTTGCTAATAAGTCTGAAGCCAGAAATTCTTGGAGTAGTTACCTAAAGCCTAGAAAGAGTATAGAATTGACTTCTGATCTCCAGCTTCTTAATTCCCTAAAACTACGAAGAATTTTGTTTCCTGTGAAAATCATCTTAGAGAAACAATTTGAAAGAGAAATTGTTTAGTTCAGCTATGTTTGTTTCATCATATAAAGAGGGTTTAACAGCTCACATCACAGAAACCGTCTTTTTCAGGATTAGTCTTTCCCTCTTAGACAATTTTTTCTAGGCATGTCCTGAGGTATTAGAAATGTCTCTTGGGTACTTTTCAAGTTAATCACAGTGGCAATCAAGATAAACCATTATAAACAAGTCTCTTTTCAACTAGATGCTCAAACAAATCCCAAACTATCAAATTTCAGAAATGATGTCCTCAAAGTTTCACTTCCAACATGGTATAATACTTCAGTATATCTTTAAGAGTTTCTATAACCCTTTTTCTTCTTTTGTATTTGATTTTAGATTCTATGATGTTGCCTTAGTTTAGGGGCTATTTATAGATTAATTGGGACTAGGAATCCCATGGTCAGCTCTCTGTAATTTGACTAGTTATTGGCTTTCCGTAATGATATGCTGCTGCTGCTGCTGCTGCTGCAAAATTTCATTGATGCATTTAGGACACACTTAGGAATTATACTGGCTTACTAACATGACAGTGGCACATTATCCTGCAAGATCCATGGCCTCAATATCCACGTGTAGATGGCTAGTTTTACAGTACTGGGCATGATTCATCTCGTATTAATCGGTCCTAGAGTCCACTTTTCCTGAATCTGTTTTTACTGTAGTTTGGATTTATCTTCGTACTTTCTAAAACTCTCCCATCTCTACCACTTATAGACTTATTTATTAAACACTGCTAATATATCTTTCACAAAATTGTCTCTATCAAAGACATTCACATTCCGTGATAGAATTGCAGCAACACAGTCTCATTCGTCCTGCTGAGCTTCTGTTGCTATCTCACCTAGGAGAAGTTGGCCTAAGAGAATCATGATGGAACTGATGTCATGGAATGATTAATCGATTGATGGACTCATGATGAGATTACTTTACTGGAAGGCGTCACAAACTTTAGAGGATAGGGCCTAGCTGGAGAAGTAGGGCATTGGGGATGTTGTTATTTAGATTGGTAAAATCTGTCCTTGGACAGTTTTTTCACTTTTTCTATTTTCTGGCTTCTATATGGTAAGCAATCTTGCTCTCTGTCGATTGACTAGTTATAGTAACTGTAACAACTGCAGTACAATTGGGAAAGTAAAGATAAATTAGAATCCTAACTGAAAATCGGAATTTCAGTTATTAGTTTTTGATATGCAATAAGCAGCACTGCTAGTGGCATACATGCTACAAAAATCCTTCACTTATTCAGAAACATTTATACACGTGTGTAATGTGCACAGGTGGGGTGGGAGTGTGTAAAACACCATCCACCCACGGGTTTAAAGTGAGTAAGTCTATGGAAAGCTACACAAAACACCGGGAAGGAATGAGCCTCACATCTCGCGAGACCTGCTGCTATAACCATTGTCACCAGCGCTCCAAGTTCCATGAGAATTTCAAGTCCCACGAAAGGTTAAGTGGTGAGGTTCTGGGAGGCCCACAAGCAGTGAGGCCTTGTTTCTGGCAAATCAGAGTTCCAGACCATGCTCTCGGATCTCAGTCCAAGTCAGAGGAGAAATAGATCCAAGGACCAGGCTTTCCGTGGAGAACATTTGAAGATGGCAGCTGCTGATAGCCGGTACAGAGGAGAGAATCCTGCCTTAAGGATTTATCAGGGAGCTTGGAGTTCTGACCAGGGGATCAACATGGCTCCAGGCCCTCAGTTTGGCTTCTGGGCTGCAGTATGTCAGTGTCTGCGAAATATGTGGGCCCAGAGGCACTTGGGCCTGTTTCTGCTTTTACTCTGGACTCTGGTGATCCTGTGCTACCTTGTGAACAGTGGTGAGTGTTGAGTCTAGGCTAGAGAAGGTGTGACGGGAGCTTGGGAAAATGAGAGAGGCAAGGGCAAGGGTGGGGTGGATGGTGCCCAGGAGAGAACTGAGGCAAAAAGGGGTGATTGGAGTAGTAGTCAACAGAGTGAGACAGAGTGCTAGGGGACAGTGAGGCAGGGATTGAGTGGGAGCCAAGGGGGACAGTGAGGCAGGGATTGAGTGGGAGCCAAGGGGGACAGTGAGGCAGGGATTGAGTGGGAGCCAAGGGGGACAGTGAGGCAGGGATTGAGTGGGAGCCAAGGGGGACAGTGAGGCAGGGATTGAGTGGGAGCCAAGGGGGACAGTGAGGCAGGGATTGAGTGGCAATGGGGCTGAGGTGAGGACAAGGAACGTAGGGCAATGTAAGGCTGGACTGGGTACCGGAGTAGGGATTTGTGGGTGAGGCACGGCTGGATGGGATTAAAATGGATGATGTGATTGAGGGCTTGAGCCCAGTACTGAAATGTGTTTTTGACACAGTGAGGCAGGGTTGTGATGGGGGTAAGGAGGAGCAAAGGAGAAGTCAGTATTGAGGATTGAGGCAGGATGGAGGGTGTGTTGTGGGAACTGAGGGGACTGAAAACTGTATCAATGATTAAAATATTACAGACACAAACCTTTCTCCTCAATACTTCCTTGTATAAAATGCCTATCCTATTTTAGGGTTAAATGGTATTTCATTATATATATATATATATATATATATATATATATATATATATATATATATATTAATTATAATCAAGTGTGCCAAATTTGTGGTTGTTTCTTACCTTTTTGGTTGTGAATCATGCTTCTATGAGTATTTGTGTATAAATACTTGTGTGGATATATATTTAACAACTAAGAATGGAATTTAGGGTCTGTAGGAGCTGTATATTAAAACAGATTTATTATGACTGAATCATATATGTCTCTGGCAGTAGTGTTCTACCTTTGTGGTGGTAGCATCCTGATCACAATAAAGTGCTTTTTTGTTTTGATTTGAAATTGTATTTCTCTAAAGACTAATGATTCTGAACATCCTTGCATGTGTGTGTTGACAGCTGATTAACTTTGAAAAAATATATTTTTTAAAACACTGTCCACTTAATTGTGTTTTTAAATTTTTAATGCATTTTACGATTGTTTTATGTGTTCTATATATTGGATCATTTCCCAAGGATATGATTTGCAATATTTCCTCCAGTTCTATAGACTGTCTTTTCACTCTCTTCATAATGTCCATAATGTCTTTGTTTTAATTCAAATGGCCTTGTCCAGGCCTAGTTAGCCCAGGCTATGCTGAGACTTGTTAAGATACTTCTTTATTTTTCTTCCTTTTAAAATTTAAATTAGAAACAATCTTATTTTATACATAAATCCCAGTTACCTCTCCCTCCCATCCTCCCATCCCTCCCCCACTGACCCCCATCCCATTCCTCTTCTGCTCCATAGAAAGGGTGAGGCCTTCCATGGGGGATCATCAAAGTCTGTCACATCCTTTGGGGCAGGGCTTAGGTTCTCCCCCATGTGTCTAGGCTGAGAGAGTTTCCCTCTATGTGGAAAGGGTTCCCAAAGTCCATTCATATACTAGGGATAAATACTGATCCATTACCAGAGGCCACATAGACTGCCCAGTCCTTTTAACTAACACCCACATTCAGGGGGCATGTTTCTGTCCTATGCTGCTTTCCCAGCTGTCAGTCTGGGGTCCATGAGCTTCCTCTTGTTCAGGTCGGCTGTTTCTGTGGGTTTCTCCAGCCTTGTCTTCATCTCTTTGTACTGTGGTTCAATAAGCATCAGGAGAAACAAATAGGCTGAATAGATGTTTATTCAGGGAAAAATAACTTAAAACATAGACAGATGAACACCAGCAGGTTCCTGGACACAAGAATGCTTCTGGATGGTCTCCTGTCCTTGTGCTGCAAGCAAGAGAGTGCTCTAGGGGCCCATCCTCAGACCTAGTTTCCCCAGGTAAAGTCTGCCCCTAACTCCACTCCCAATGGGCATGGCCAGTACCACAGGTGCTGACAAAGTGAATATTTCACTACATAAACCTTTGCTCATCACTCCTCCCTCTCAGCAACTGGATTCCAGGAGTTCGGCTAATGTTTACCTGTGGGTGTCTGCTTCTTCTTTCATCAGATTTAATCGAAGATTTAATTGAAGATGAAGGCTCTAGGATGGCATATAAGGTAGTCCTCAGTCTCATTATTGGGGAAGGGCATTTAAGGTCGCCTCTCCACTATTGCTTACATTCTTAGTTGGGGTCATCCTAGCAGATCTCTTGACATTTTCCTAGTGCTAGATTTCTCTGTAAACCTATAATGGCTCCCTCTATTTGTAAGACCCTCAGAATGAGGAGTCTTCCAGGTTCGGACGATACCCCAAGAACTCAATGTCCAGTTCAGTTGCTGCAAAACGCAAGAGGCTTTAATGAACAGGAAACGTTTGCGCAAACGGGCTCCTCCAGCACGCAGGCTAGGGAGAAGTCCCCTCCCCTGGGCCCAGGTGTTTTTAAAGGCAAACCCACAAGCTTAGGGAGGGGGTGGGACCCTCTGTCCATTGAGTATGTGACCCTTGGAGGCCGGATGGTCTGCTATTAGGATCAGCAGGCCTTAGGGCCTCAGGTGTGCTAATTAACCTTGTCTGGGCAAATCAGAGTTACAGCTATCTCTTGACCCTATTTACCACCTGTTGACTCACAGGAAAGGAGGGGCAGTGTGAATTCTTCTTATCTCAGGGCCCTGTGAGAGGAAGCTAGCAAATTCCAAGGAACAGATATTGGTTTCTAGGTTAGTCCATCATTAACATTACTTTTTAGGTCTTTCACATTAAGGTATCTCTTTTCTTGCTCTCCTCTATGCTTCCCCTGACTCAATCTTCCTGGCCCCTCATGTCCTCTTCTCCCCTCTTTCTCTTCTAACTCCTTCTCCCCTCCTCCGTGCTCCCAATTTGCTCAGGAGATCTTGTCCTTTTCCGCTTCTGTGGGGTACCATGTATGTCTCTCTTAGAGTCCTGCTTGCTTCCTAGCTTCCCTGGAATACAGGCTGGTGGTCCTTTGCTCTATGTCTAAAATCCATATATGAGTGAGTACATACCATTCCTCTTTTTGTGACTGGGTTACCTCACTTAGGATGATTTCTTCTAGTTCTATCCATTTGCATGTGAATTTCAAGATTCCATTGCCCACCCCCATTCAGTAGTACTCCACTGTGTAAATGTACCACATTTTCTCTAACCATTCTTCAGTTGAGGAGCATCTAGGTTGCTTCCACATTCCGGCTACTACAAATAATACTGCTATGACCATAGTTTGACATATGTCCTTGTTGTATGAATGTGCATCCTTTAGTTATATCCATAAGAGTGGAATTCCTGAATTGTCAATATCCTTCCTCTGCTTCTCACATGCAGGGATCATAGGCAGGGGAGACAATAATTTTCTTTGATATACAAAATATTTAAATTCCTATAAACTACAATTTATATTTTTTCTTTGGTTGTTTGGTCCTTTAGTGTCATCTCTAACTAGTCATTGCCAAGGTCATGAATATTGTTTCTGTTTTTGTCTAAGAATTTTAAAGTTTCACCTCTCAAATTGGATTGTTAGCCCATTTGTGTTAATTTTTATATATGATATGTATGAGGAGTTAACTTATTTTACATTTATCATGCAACTAATTGATTGTTCCAATATCTCAAAAAAGTTTTAAAAATGTATTTAATTTCTATTTGTGTGTGTCTGTGTATATGCACATCTGTATCAGGGTGTCTTTAGAAGCCAAAAGAGTGTATCAGATCCCCTGGACCTAGAGTTAACAGACAGGCGTGGCCTTCTCAAAATGGGAAGAGGGAACCGAACTCAGGTTCTCTGAAAGAGCAAAACATGCTCTTACTACTGAACATCTCACTAGCCCCTGTTGTTGCTGCTGTTGCTGCTATTATTGTTGTTGTTATTATTATTATTATTATCGGGAGTATATGTGTGTATGTGAGTGAATGGATGTTTCCGCATACCACAATCTGCATATGAAGCTCAGAGGACAGCTTCAGAGATTCAAGTCAGTTCTTTTCTTCCTGCCTTTACACCTTATCTTCTAAGGATCAAACTCCAATTGTCAGGCTTGCTTTGCAAGTACTTTTACCAATGGCCCATCTTGCAAACAACAGATCAGATTATTTTCTTTTGGCTACCCAGTTGGCTAATGATAACAAAGTGTGTGAGGGTACAAGATAAGTGGCATTTGGCTCTACTATTATTAGTAGTATACTTCAGGATTATATTGGAAAGTAATAGCCCAGTGGTACAAAGTGTGAGGCCCTAAAATTAATTTGGAGCATCAAAAATTAAAAATAAAATCATCACCAAACAAAACAAACAACAAAAATAAGAATTTATCAAAAGTATTTTTAAATATCAGCAGATATATAGCTCTAATAATAATAATATTCCAAGCAGTTCATAATTATTGTAATGTTCTTTAAAATAAAAATATATTAAGAACAGCATGAATGTTTTCCTAGATAATTGAGTCATATAAAGGAATTCTAAGGTATAATTAAAGAGATTACTGAGGAATATTTTTTCTTACATGGGAGAGATTATACAAATATAATAGAATGAAAGAAGGATAAGAAATACTTCCTGTATCATTGTGTGAGGATATCAGCATACTTGTCAAAGACTTTATTGATGGGAGATGTCATTCTGTAAATATGTTTCTCATACTGGTTAATGAATAAAGCAATGTTGGCCAATAGGAAAGCAAGAGAGGAGGGACTAGGAGAGAAGGAGGAAAGAGGAAGTAGTAAGGAGGAGTCAAGATGGAGAGTCTGGAGAGAGCAGGACACCAGCTGGCTCTCCGGTAAGATGAGACCACCTGGAAATACATAGATTAACAGAAATGGGTTTATATTTAAGACAGAGCTAGCCGATAAGAAACAAGTAACTGGCCAACAGGATTATATCAAATACAGAGTCTCTGTGTGTTAATTGGGGCTGGCGCGGCGGCGGGACAAGACCCAGCGGTGGGAGGAAAAACCTACTCTTTACACTTTATTATCTAGGTTATGATTTAGTTGGAATACAAACTATTTCTGATTTTTAATTTTTTGTTCCTGATTTTTCCATTGATTAATTTTTAAACACTAATTTTTTTGTTAGGCAAATTTGTTATTTAAATCATTGTCCAGAAGGCCAATGGGATGTGTGAGTGTGTATGTTAAATATTTGTTAATTTGAATATTTCATTTTTGTAGCAGAATCAAAATCTGATTATTAATGCTATTTATGCTGTTACAAGATTAAAATGCATCATCTGTTATATTTCCATGATTAGTTTAAGCAAAGGTTAATTGCTATTAAATCTTCATTGAATATGACAAATGTTTAAATATTTGATGATTAATCATTTCACTTCTTTACACTTCTTAGATTCTGTGTCTCCAAGAGAGAAAGTGCCATGGCACAGTGAAGCTCCAGAACATGGATCCAAATGGGAAATTCTGGTGAACTTTTTCTTTCCAACAAGTAAGTTGTTTATTGATTGATTGATTCTACTTAATGTCTTTGTTTTAGAAAGAATAGTTAAGTATGCAGGAAGCAGACTGTTTTCTCAACTTTGGAGCGGGACACCTGAGTTTGAGCACTGACTCTGCCCTTGCCTTAGGCAAGACAATCTCTCGATATCAGTGTTTTCATCTTGTGATGAAGATACATACCCGAGGAATTGAGAGGATGAACTGGGACAATAATTGCAAGGAGAATGTAGCAGATTAAGGCTTAAATTTGTAATTTTTCATAAAATACTTTTCCTTTAGGAATACTTAAAGCTTTCATAATTCACCTGAGTGGCATGTTCTAATTTAGTCACTGATCCAGTGTTGTGACATTGATGTCTTCTGTGGCATTAAGCAGTGGTTCTGTTGCTATGGAATATAGCAGATGTTTTCCCATCTGTGTTAATGCTATAAGTCCAGGTTTCAAGTCACATAATTTTTGTGATCTGTAGACAATGTTTGTTTTTTATCAAGCACATGATGAACCTTGAGAATTAACCAGAAATAAACAATGTTTTATTTTGTATGGTATGTGATCGCCTTTCAAAGTTAAGTTTCTCATAAATTGGCATGATAAAGAATTTAACTAAAAACTATTTAGAATTAATTCTAAGAAAATCTGATATATTTATCTAAACACTAAGTTGAATCCTTTGTTTAATTCTAGATCTAAGTATTCAACTCTTCTGTGAAAAAACTCTCTTTATGCTTCTCTAGTGATTTCATCAAGTATAAAATAGTTATTGTAACACCTGCTACCTATGAGAATAGCAAACTAAATTAAAGCTACTGCCATAGCCAAGTTGAGTGAACAAGAAAATGAATCTGTGAAGGTGTTATGTTGGATAGGCTAAAAGAAGGGCTTACTGAGTACAACAAAAGTAAATGACAGGTTAAGCTTTAGAGGTTTGGAGACAAACAGAAATAAATTATCAAATATTTACCTACTTGCCTAGGATGACTAGAGTAATAGAAACAGTGAAGTGGCCTTTAAAATGACCCAAATGAGATTTATTTATTTATCTTAATTTTATTTTTCCTCACCTAACACAAAAAATTGAATAAAAATCAATTTTGCAAAACTTATTCCTCAAATCAAATTGTTTTTTCTCCTTCCCCTTTTTCTCACCTTCCTCCCTCCTTTTATTATTTTTGACAGGGAGTGATGTATCCAAGGGTAACCCTCAAATTCTTTATGTGGCCAAGAATGGCATTAAACTTCTGTTCCTTCTGCTTACATCCCCCAAATGCTAGAATTATAATCACATGCAACCAAGCCTTGTTTTATGTGGTGCTGGGGATCCAACCAAGGGCAACACATACATTAGGCCAGCACTTTATAATTAAGCCACATTGCAGGGCAGGCTAGCTGCCTGGCTGCCTGACTGCCTCCCTCCCTTCCCCCTCCCTCCCTCCCTCCCTCCCTCCCTCCCTCCCTCCCTCCCTCCCTCTCTGCCTCTCTTCCTCCCTCCCTGTCTCTCTCTTTCTTTCCTTCCTTCCTTTCAAGAAACATTAGCCCTAGATTGATCTATATCTGTGGCAATATTTATCAACTGAACATGTTGTCTTTTTTGAAAACAATAATTATGAAATATCTAATGGAAAGGATTTTGAGTGTTTACAGTACAAAGAAATGATAAATGCTTAGGGTGAGGCATATATTTTACTCCAGAATAACCATTATGCACACACTATACAATACATACATATATACTTATATATTTATTGCAAGGTTATTGTGCCTCATAAACATACAATTGTTGTGTGTCAATTAAGGATACTTTTTGTGATTATGAAATGTTTCTTTTACATATATAGGTCTTAAAAATTAGCTTTTAAAAAGTAGTATACAAAGGAATAGGTTCCAGTATAATATTTTTATTCTTACTTTGTTTTGTTGATATTTTTTCCAGTCTTATTCCTGTGCTCACATGCTTTTCCTTTTCATTCCTTCAGGAACACACTTTTTTCTTCATTATAAATATTCATGTTTTAAGCCATTTATTTGTATTATTTTTGATCATGTGTCTGTGAGTTGGTGCATGCTTATATATATATATGTGTGTAATTGGCCAGTGGAAGAAAAGACACTGGATGCTCCTGGAGCTAGAGTTATAAGCAGCTATAAGCCACTTGCCATGGACATTGGGAATAGAATTCTGCTCCTCTGGAAGTACATGCCTTTAACTTCTGAGCCATCTCAGGTCCCACATATATTCAATTTCCTTTTTTCTCTTTTCTGCTCATTCCCTTAAGTCTCTTTACTCCCTGTCAAATGTCTCCTTTCGAGTCTCATACCCACCATGTACTCAAACACTTATAAAAATTAAAATATAGGATTGCCTATGACAGAGGACGTGGAACATTTCTTTTTCTGAGTTAGGGTTTGTTTACTTAATAGAGTAATTTCTACTTCTCTCTATTTTTCTGTTAATGTCATGATTTCAGAATCACAAAAGTATCCTTAACTGCTCCTTAGTTCCCTCTGTGTTGTATTTGTGTCACTACCATTCCCCTAATTGCTTATAGTTCTTTTAAAACTATCTTACCATGCTAGGGATGTAGTTCAATTCATAAACTGTCTGCTTTGTATGCACAAAACCTTGAGTTTGAGCTCTGGGACTGTATGGAAACTGGGTAAGGTGGTGTGCGTCTGTAATCCTAGCAGTCAGGAGGCTGAGGCAGGAAGATCTGGAGTTCCAGGTCAACTGTGGCCATATAGAGAATTGATGTATAGTTTACATTGAGTGCTAGATATCTGATCTCAGAAAGATATCCTATTAGTTAGCAATTTATGTATTTCTACAGGTTATTATTAAAAGTGTACTGTTAAATACCTGGTAATTTAAACTTTTATTTTCTCATTTTAATTTTAGTTTTCATCATTATATACATTTTCATTGTACTGCATTAAATGTTTTTCTTTTTTATCTTGCTTTGTATTTATTGATTATGAAAAGTGCTTATTAATCATGCTAACTATTTTTTTACTGGATTCCTACCTTTGAAAGCATGCATCATAAGGGAGAACCAGGAGGTAGTGGCTTGTAATAAGCAACCGTATCTGAGCAAGACTGAATGTTTAAGATCCAAGTGCTGTTTTTCCTCATCGGAGACCAAAATGAGGTGCTATGCTCCAATAGAAGATAGTAAGTAGATCAAGTCTCATTTGTTTAGTTTCTTTAAGTACTGAAAATATCAAATAGAAAAACATTTAAATAGATTACAAGGTTTTAAGTACATCTTTAGACTTTCCAGCTTAACATTTCTAAGGAATTACCAAACCAAGACCAATGTTATCAATAGAAATTCTGAGATAATTCCCTACTAGTTTCTGTTTGGTCCTTAGATGGTAACTAACCATTCAGAATTAGTCTAATCTGTTCAGTTGGTTCAGTCACTCGCATTTCTTTCAAAGTGTCTGAAGTGTTGCATCAGGTATGACCCTCTGCCTGAGAGAAGGTACCAGAAAGGTGAGAAAAAGAATAGTAGTTCACTTTCTTGCTGCTCTGACACAAGACCTAACAGAAACAACTTGAAGAAGGCTTCATTTCAGGAAGCGGTCTCCTATACCAATTTGTTCAAGGGTACCTCCTACTTTCTCTTCTAAGAGGTTCAGTGTGGCTGGATTGATGTTGAGGTCTTTGATCCATTTGGACTTGAGTTTTGTGTGTGGCTATAGACATAGGTCTATCTGCAGTCTTCTACACACCATCATCCAGTTGTGCCAGCACCATTTGTTGAAGATGCTTTCCTCCCCCCATTGTATTCTTTTAGCTGTTTTGTTGAAAATCGGGTGTTCATAGGTGTGTGGGTTAATATCAGGATTTTCAATTCAATTCCATTGGTCTACTTGTCTGTTTTTGAGCCAATACCAGGCTGTTTTCAGGACTATAGCTCTGTAGTAAAGCTTAAAGTCAGGGATGGTGATGTCTAGCCCTAACCCTGAAAATGATTAAAACATTCATTAATAACAGGAATATCTTCATGATCTAAAGTGTCTTGAGATTTTCTTACAGGTACATTCTGTGGTGTGCTTTGCTAAAATCTTTTAAGCTTTTCTGAATCCTACCTCACTTGTGAATCAGCATTCACTATTATAGGGAGTAATCCATTCTCACTCACTCATTGTGAGGAGTCTTAGATGATATTCCTGTACCAAAAAAGAGATTAATGGGGAAAATCATCACAAACTAATTTAATCATACTTTTATGTGACGCTGAGGCTTTTGAATCAAGAGTCAGTGATGCAAGATAACATTTAATATACATACTTAGGCTCTGTGAAGCACAGACACATGTAGAAATGATTGAACAAAAACGAGTGTGATTTAAGTGGGGAAATCTGTCTGTCCAGATTGTTAATGTCCTCTCTGTAGCAATCCTTCCTGCTAGGTATTTGACTGAAGGTCCTTTGTGAAATAGAGATCCTATAATCCACTAAGTCAGGGATTTCTTCTTTTTGCTATCACCCTCTTCGCTTCTATCACTTTTGCTTCCTTTTGTTTTTTGAAGTGTGGTTTCCTGATGCTCAGGCCTGCCTCAGATTTGCTGTAAAGTTCCGATGCCTCAGATTTGCTGTAAAGTTGCGAATGGCCTTAAACTTCTGATTTTCCTATCTCAGAACTTCAGATGTTCAGATTACAGTCATGTGCCACAGTACTCATCTGGTCAGAGAATTTCTTTATCGCCAAGAAAGAAAGACAGAGGAAGATCAGAGTAACAGTTTTGAGCTTACTGCTGGCTTTGGGGAAAAGAACTTCTGCTTTCTGTGATCAGCCTTGGGGTAAATCAATTAGAGTTTCTCTGGATTTTTCTCTAGAGCAGGGAAGAGTAGGAGATAGGAAGCAGTGTGAAAACCAGAAAGAAATTTGACGGGTTTTTTTTTTTTTTTTTTTTTTTGTTGTTTTGATATTTTTTCTGAGACAGGAGTCTCCTGCATTCTAGTCTAGCTTTGAACTTTCTATATAGTAGGTGGATGACCCTGAGTTTTCAGTGAGGTTATAGGCATGTGCTACAACACCTAGTTTATGTGGTGCTAAATTCCTGTGTCGAATTCTTCCATTTTTTTTTTTTTTTTTTTTTTTTGTCTGTAACAGCTTGGCATGTAGCAATAGATGTGAATGTTTTCTGTTAGCTGTCCTTGCTAGCTTTTCTTTGTTCTGTTTCTTTTACAATTATCCAAAGCAAAATTAGCCTCTTAAGATTTTCTTTCCGAAGTTAAAGAAATAATGCCCCCCCTCTTTCTTTCTTTCTCTCTCTCTCCCTCTCTACCTTCCTCCCTCCCTCCCCCCTCTCTCTTTCTCTCTTCTCTTACCTTCATTTGTTGCTAGGGACATATTACCTGTTGGTCTCATGATGAATGTATCAGATGTAATAAAGCACTAAGAAATAATAACAGGATTCATGAAGAATAATATATTTATATATAGTCCCTATTCAATTTAGAGCTTTTTTTGTTTGTACATCTACTATTAATGAGATTTTTTTTCTTTTCATAGTCCCTATTCAATTTAGAGGTCTTTTTTTGTACATCTAGTATTAACGATGAAAACTAAAGCCTGATCATGAATATAGTATTGAAGTTTTAATGCTGTCATATTGTATTTAGAATTCATTCATCAGTCTACTGTTTCTATTATGTGTGAAGAAAAATTTGGTTCTTTTAATGGAAAAAAAATTGAACCGTGACTTACAATTCCCCAATCACATTACAATGCATTTCCCAGTGCATAAGAGGCTAAAGTACGCTTATTCACCTGCAGGTTTTTTATTCCATGTTTAATTGAGTGCTTTGAAATTTGTAAGTAAACACTGAAGAAGCCAATTCTTAACCAGGTTAACTGTTCATAGATTGATGTGTCCTTCAGATGCTCTTGGATACATAACATATGGCCTAGAACAGGTATACTCAGAGCCATACAAAGAATCCAGTGTTCTGAATCATAATCTGCCAATGAAAACAGCCTGATTATTTCGTTAAGGTATTGTGGGTGCAATTTGAAAATAGCTTTTAGTTTCATTTCAAGAACTCCTAACTGAAGCATAACAAGGGGGTTTACCATTCACTTTACTGTATTAACTGACAGTTTTCTATAAATACTTTATTAAATAGTTCAGCTTTGCATCTCTTGCCTAGCCATAAAAGTAACAAGATATAATTAAACCAACAGAGCCTACACAGATGCTCCGGGTGTTTGGGTTCTCTGTGATCAGCATGATAATCCTGGGATTTCTTCCCGTGTATTGCTGCTTTCTTTGCCGGAGGAGGTAGGCAAACATAAACCTACTTGCTAATTGCTAACTGTATGTGGATATTTGTGTTTGCACTTTGATTGCGTTGCTTTAAATATGAAGAGATAATGTTTGGGTTCCCTGTTTTTGAGAAAAATCTAAAAATAAAATTACTATTTTTTTTTTTTGTTTTAAAGACATGTTTTTTTTTTCACAAATTGAAAATGTCCTGTTTAATAGGCTTTGTATATTTTATCATCAAACAAAATCCCAACTGGAAGTAAAATAAGTCTGCAAGCTGGAGATGTGTGGAGTTAGGGTAGCTATTAAGTGCAAGTGAGTGGGTTCTGTGAACATGGTAGGCTGCCAGGGGTCTTCGACCCTGGGTCTTTAAACATTGGTATTTTTAATAGAAGTTATATTAGATTTTTCCTTACGGATTTATACAACATGTATTTGCACCTTATTTTATTTTCTATAAGGGTCACCAAAACTTTATCACTTTAATAGACCTGCATGTATACAAGTGTGTGTGTGTGTGTGTGTGTGTGTATGTGTGTGTTTGTGTGTTTGTGTACTGAGGATTGAAGGTAAGACTTGGCATGTAATAAGGAGATGCTTCATTGCTAAAGGAAGTGCTGTATGATAAAACCATGTACTCAATCTCCACTTTTTGTTTCAAGCCAAAGTCTCATTGAGATGTCCACTCTGGCTTTGAACTTACTATGTAGTTCAGGTTGCCCTTGTACTTTGAATTGTCCTTCCTCAGCCTCGGCATACATAGGATAATGAGCCTGTGCCACAAGGTGCAACTTCACATTTCAACTATTCCCAGTTGTATCCAGGCCAGTTCTTTTTCCCAGACTTCATTAGCTTCTTTTGAGTTAATAATTTTCTGTGTCTGTGTGGTATTTGCTCATGTGTATGAGGGTGCATGTGCCTGTGGTTGTGAGGAGGCTAGAGGATGCTAGATGTTCTGGTCCATCACTTTCTGCCTTAGTCATTTGAAACAGGATGAGTCTATAGGTGTACAAGGCTGTATCTAGCTTTTTTTTTTTTCTTTTATGTTTCTGCTAATAACCAGTCCCAGGTCTTGGTGTTTGCATACCAAGTATTCTTACTTGAGTGTATGGTTTCTATTCCATAGTCTTCCCCTACTCTCTTTCTTTAAAGCAGTTTTTAAGAAATATAACCATTTATTTACTTGTGTGGATGTTTTATTTTCATGCATGTCTGTTCCATGTACATGCTTTGTGCCCAATGAGGCCAGAAGTGAGCATCAAATCTAGGACTGGAGCTATAGATGGTTGTAAGCTACCTTGTGTGTGCTTCTAATCAAACCCATGTCCTTTGCAAGAGCAGCCAGTATTCTTAACCCCTGGGCCACCTTTTCAGTTCCTCCTTACCTTTGGCGTGAATTTTTGTTCCTTCTTTTTTTTAGGTGATTGGAAGTAGAAAAGTTTTTTTTTTTTTTTTTTTTTTTTTTTGACTCCCTTCTTCCCTTCAAAGCTTGCTCTTACAAATAAAAGTGAAAGCTTTGTTAGAAGTTGATGGCTAGAATTATACCATATAACTTAGAAAGTGTCTAGATTATAAGATTGGTATATTTTCAGCTAGATCTTCTATTACACATTTACCAACTAAGTTTATGAGGACATTTACGTCCATTGGATTTTTCTTTTTCTCCTGATGAGTACATATTTTATGTTTTAATAATACAAACTATTTTAGAGACTCAACCGCTATAAATAAGAACTTGAAATCCATATGTTCTGGTTTCCCATGCTATTGTGCTACTATTTTGTATGAGGGGTATGCTCCTCTGCCATTCTACCATGGCCCTGCACAAGTGGTACTTTAACCTAGGTGTTTAGCACAGTTTCTTCTAGGACCAGTGGTTGAGGGTAGATGAGACACTGTCAGGTTTCCTGGAAGGCTGATTTTAGAAGTGAGGAGCAAATAAAGAGATAAATGGAAGCCAAAAGTTGCAAAACTCTCCCTTTGAGGGGCGAGATACCTCATTAGGAAAATCCTCTTGGTTTACTTCCTGTCTCCATTTCAAAGAATAATGGATATAAAATGTTAAATGAGTCAAAGTCAGTAACTCCATAAAATGAGTAGTGTAGTGATAAAATCCATACATAGACATTTAAAAAGGAAAATAGGGAGTGGAAAGAGGGCTCAGCAGATAGAAATGTGTAGTGCTCTTCTTTCAAAGGCATGCTCACAACCACAGGCTTTTCCAGCTCTCGAGATACCTGACACCTCTGGCTGTACTCCCCTCTTACACACATACATCTACACACAGTTTAGTTTTAAAGGTAAATCTTTAAAAAGGAAAAGAAGAAGCCAGACACTGTTGTTTGTATAAATCACAGGAACTAAAAGCCAAATACAGATCTGCATTAACATGACCTGTGTCTCTGTTCAAAGAATCCTTTTGCCATTTTTGCATTGGGAGGCACCCTTGAATTCTTCTTACACATGAGCTATTAAAAGGGAGTGTGCCTTAGGGGGGAAAAATCTGCTGTAACAACGCCCTTGATCTTCAGTTACAAACCAAAATAAACAAGATTTTGATATTTTCTTGTCTCTTTAATTTGTACCTTATCTTTTTATTTATATATCACCTAAAGAGCTAGCAACTGCAATAAATGGAACCCTGAAAAGTGAGAACAGGTAGGATAAGTGAAAGCAATCTTGGTGAAGATTATCATCATTCTCCAGAAGCAAAAAATGGACTTCATTGTTTTGGTGCTTCATGATTTCTGCAGCCCAGCATATTTATTCAGTACTTCCTTCACTGTGTGATATGAACGTTACATAGAGATGTTGAAAACATAGACCCTCTATTTTAATAAAACTTCACATATTTATTTATATGGATTGTGTGTGTACGGATGAGTGTATGTACATGTGTGTGTATGTATGTATGTGTGCATGTGTGTGAGCGTGCAAGAGTTAAAGCCTCTGCCTATCTCTGAAACTGGGTTCATGTTTTCTTCGCTAGCTGGGAAGCCAACAAGCCCCACAAATCCTCCTGTCTCTGCCCACATCAAAGCTGCTGTTATAGGTGTTTTTGGGGGCACATGGCTTGTTATGTGGGTGCAGAGATAGGAACACCAGTCTTCATGGGGAACTAAAGTAAGTGGACACAGGGCAGTCCCTGTGGAATAGTGCCACTTGAACTTGGTTTTGAAGGGAAGTCAAGATGTGAATTACATGGGGAGGGGCCTTTCCACAGTTTTCTTACATCCAGAAGGAGATCGTTGTAGTGTGTGCCCTTTAACTGCCTCTTGTTTGTAAGCACAGGGGACTGAACTTTGTCTTTGGAATAATTAGCACTGACTCTTCAGTTTACTTCTACTAGACTTGAGATCAGCTTTGATATAATTCAAGTACAGAGAAACTCAAGCCTGCTTGAACTAGCTGCACAAATGAAAAAAGTAGGGGAGAAGAGAAGTGAAAAGCTTTCTAAGAATTTGCTACTAAATAGCTTAATTACACTTGCATGTAAGTTGTATTTTGAAATTCACTGTACCCTCAAGGTTGCGTAACATCTATTTCTAGCCTCATTAATGGGGACCAGAAGCTTCATTAGGCTTAAGTGCCACCAATAGGCTTAAGTCTGACTTATATGTAGAAGGAGGAAAGATCAAGTAAATGGGAACAGAAAGAAGCAAAGGAGAACTCTAAGGGCAGAGATGGGGTGGAATGGGGAATATTTGAATCACTACCATTAGGTTAAGCACTAATGACAATAGACTGAAGTATCAAATTCACTTTCTAATCTTGATCTGTTTTGAGTTTAAAATCTATGTACAAATGCTAACTATTTCTGTTAGACAGTGAGATGACACTTGAAAGTGTACCCAACCTTGGAAGAAATTTCAAATATGATGCCAAGTAAACATAGATGAAGTATGTTTTCATGTTGGATTAAATTGTAATCTTGCAATAAAAATACAGAACATAGTCTGAAAATGGTATTTTTTCTTTTTACTGACAACTAGTAAAAAGCATTTTATTTTAAAACTTTTGAAAAGACTATAGATATCTGATAGGTGATATAAGGAGTGCATGACACATGCAGATCCAGAGGTGCTTCCCAGAAGTTTACTGAAGATATCTGTGTTCAGAAAAACAGGCTGTGTAATTGTCATGTTAGAATATGGTTTCATTAAGATGATAGTTTTAATGCCACTTATTTTCTTAGAATGAGACAAAAAGAACTGGGAGTAAGTATGTCAAACATTGCCTAAAACTCATCATCAATTAAACTAAAATGGTATTTATGCCTTCTATTCCTTGCGTATTACATTTTACTGTACAATATAATTAGTAATGATATTTTGAAAATTGTTATACAATAATGAGGCAACTATTGGAAGGTTTGAAGTTCTTAGCATTGTGTTCATATAAATTCAGAAGAAATTAAATCTGTAAATTTAAAAAGGGTGATTCTTCTGTAAGAAATTTGATAATATGTTAGATGGGAATGTGGATGAAGTGAAACTCTTATAACATTATGGGACTGAATTGTACAAAGACATTTATTTTGGAAGGTGCTCAGGATAAATTAAGTTATGAATCAATAGTAATATAACCTTCTTATATGTGGAATGAATATATATATGTGTATATATGAATGATGCTTCCATTATAATGACTTCCAAAGCATTGATATATATACACACACACACATATATATATATATACACATGTATATATATATTTTTTTCTTATTTTACATATCAATCTCAGTTCCCTCTCACTCACACCCTCCTACATCCCCTAAACCCCGCGCCTATCCATTTCCCCTCCAACTCCTCAGGGAGGGTGATGCCCTCCAGGTGGGATCATCAAAATCTGTCAAGTCATTTGGAGCAGGATCTAGGCCCTCCCTCCTGCTTCTAAGCTAAGGGAATATTCCTCCTTGGGTAATGTGCTCTCAATGTTCTTTTGTGCAACAGGGATACGTCCTGGTTCCACTGTCAGAGGTCCCTTAGAGGGGCCCAGGCCTTCTAACTGAGACCCATGCACAGGGGTCTGAGTCGGTTGAATGGTGGTTTGCCATCTATCAGTCTGGGGGTTCATTAGCTCCTCCTTGTTCAGGTCAGCTGTCTCGGTGAGTTTCTGATCTTCATCTTGAAGCTTGAACCCAAATATCAGTTTCTGGGTCTAGCAACATCCTCCCTTTTTTTCTTTTCAGCGTAGTTTTTTTCTTTTCAAAATAAGAACCTTGACTCTAATCTCTTTTGTTTAGTGCCCCCCCCATAACCAACAACAACTTGTAACCAGTTCCCCTAAACAATGACAAATATCCATATCCAATGAAGGACCAAAAGCCACCCACCCCACCTCTTGGGAATGTGGGTCATGTGTTCTTAAATTGACTTCCTGCTCTCTGGGGACAACTGCATGTTTAGAGGATCCTGAAAAGAAAAAAAAAATGTTAGTTGTCAAGTCCTGGGAGAGGTAGCAGCATCATTTATTTTCTAGTCCTTGCATAATGGGAAAGTGAAGGGCTTGTCTCATGTCCTGGCTAGAGTAGTCTCCGAGGCTTGTTGGTCCCAGCTAGCCACCTTGAAATTGTTCTGAGCAGTGTCTGTGAGGGTAAATTATCTCAGCTAGCCACCGTGCCTGAGCAGTTTGTAATCCAAAGCTGATCTTTACTTCGAGTTTTTCAGTTTAGTGGTGTTATCATAGTCCTTGTGGAATTATCATCTGTTGGGTTTTATCTTCTTTTTGGAGACTTCAGAGATCACATTAAGTCAGATTACTCTTTTTCTTGGTAATTTTTTCATGAAAGTTCTCGTGTCTACTTTGAGTGTTTATTTGTCCATAGGTCTTTAAATTCCTCAAGGTGTTTGCTTTTATTTTCTTGGAGAAACAAAACAAACAAAACAAACAGACCAAAAAACAAACAAACAAACAAAAAACAAAAAAAACCCTGCCCCAACCCTAAATTGGGGGGTGTGTTCCTAATATAAGTTTTATCAATTTTGATTTATGGTTTCTCCTGAAATTTTGTCTTCTAATGCTCTTCTATCATCCAGAACAATATATATATATATATTTTTTCAATAGGTATTAGGTTTTTAAATTGCTTTGGGAAGGAGTTTTCATGGTAACAAAAACAACTGAGCTGGATTTGGCATAGGGGCCTCCAAAAGGCCCCTCAAGGAGTTTCCAGATGCAAAATAGTACTTTGAATGTCTCCTGTTGCTCTATATTCATTAATTTAGTGGCTGCCTTTACCACACCTTCTGCATAATCCAGAAGGGAGGGGCGATCTGATTGGATTATGCTTAGAAAAAGCATTATTTCTAGAAGCATTCTGTTTGCAATCCCTTTTTAGGTGACCATGTTTGTTATAGGAAGGCTACTGATTTTTGTGTATTAATTTTTTTATCCTGCTACTTCACTGAAAGTGTTTATCAGCTGTAGAAGTTCCATGTTGAATTTTTAGGGTCTTTTATGTATAAAATCATATCTGCAAATATGTTTTGTTTTGTTTTTTTCTGTTCATATATCCCCTTGATCTGTGTTCAAGTATTTCAGTTTTCCTAAGAGATGTTTTCCTGATCAGGTGATCAACAGGCATAGTTAAATTAACTCTTTAGGGAGAGTACATCAGTATGTAATGTTTTAGGCAATTTAGAAGTTCATGTCTCCACCTGAGATCAAAGGCTTTCCCTTAATGAGCCTTAAGAAAGCCCTTCTACCTTTATCTTTTTATATGGTGCTTTATTTATATTTGTTTGTTTATTTGTTTGTTTTGTTTTGTTTTTCAAGACAGGATTTCTCAATCCACCTGTCTCTGCCTCCTGAGTTCTGGGCTTAGAGGTATGTGCCACCAACGCCCGGCTTATGTGGTGCTTTAAATCTTAAAATACAGTTATCATGCTTTCCTGTCATTTCTCTTTTTCTTAAAAGTTATTTTTATTTATGTATCCGTATAAATGTATGTTATATGAACCTACATGTCCATTGAGGCTAGAAGGGGGTTTTGGATTCTCTGGAGCTGGTCTTACAAATTCAGATAACTGAACTAAAGTCTTTTGGAAGAACAGGACATACTGCTAACCACTAGGCCATCTCCATAGCCCCAGTTTCCCTTTCTAAGTTGGTTTGTTACTAGGAAAATGGGAGGTGAGATCCAGAGTATATCATGAGGACTTTATCATCAGGGCATCTAACCCTGCTAATGCCTGTAGCTTCCTGTGTTAGTAACAGTTTACTGGAGGAACAGAACTAATAGAATATGTATTGCAAACGGAGTTTGCTTAATTGTTTTACATGCTTCAGTCTGGATAGTTGAATGGCTTTCTGCTTGCTGGAGATTCTGAGAACCAGATAGTTGCTCAGTCTGAGTGGCTTAGAGGACCTGCTGGTTTTCAGTTCACATTGAAAGGGTAAAGAAGCTAAATTCTGTTGTTAGTGAAGAGTGACAGCATTGATGGCAGCCACAATTCACTCAGCTAACAAAGACCAAAGGCAAGCAGGGATATGCAGCACTGCATTTTTCTCAGACCTTTTTATATCCTGATCATTTCCAGGAAGCACTGTCTACTCTGGGAGACAGTCTTTTTCCCTCATTTAATTCTTCCAGGGGACACTCTCACAGACTTGCTCAGAGGCATGTCTCTTAGTGCAGATCCAGTCAAGTTGACAACCAAGGTGTTCACCATCATACCACCTAAGACTTGTGGTCCTACTTATTGGCAGCACTCTACTTGGTGCAGAGATTATATAGCATGCCACCATTCAATCACTGGCTTATTTATGTATCTCCTCACCCCCACTATTCTTATCTGGCTCATTTCCAATCAGATAGTAGAACTCAGATTAGATGCCACCTGTCCTAGGAAACTTAACCAGAACATTTTGTTCACACTGGGTCAGGTTTCTTTTTGCTTGTTTTCTGTCACTGTCTGCCTACCTCTACCGTGGCTGACTTCTATTTGTTGTAAGTATCAGCCAGCAAATCTACCCTTCCTTCTAAAAGATACATACTTTAGGACAGATCCTGTGTCTTGTTTAGACATGATTATTTCATAACAGAAAAAAATGTAAGTAAATGAATGAAAAAAAGTTGACCTGTGCTTTATAAGTGCTCTAGCCTTGAAGTTAGATAGTATACAGGAGAATAAAACCACTTTTACATATGGGACAAATCATGTTTTCCCTAATTAAAAGAGCATGGATTTGAGGGAGGGCTATACATGGGAGAAGTTGGAGGAAGCAAAAAGAAAGGAGAAATGATGTGATTATATTTTAATTAGAACATAAAAGTAAATCTATAAATAAGGTTATTCATGCACATGATAGCAATCTGTTACATGGCCAAGGTTAGCATGTATTAGCTCATGCTTCTCTATGCTGAGACCTGGTATAAGACCTAGTTTAATCATTTCAAAATAGGAAATGAAGGACCTTCTAGGATTTTTGTGATAATTAAATGAGATAATCTATATGAAGCACATGGGCAAGGTTTTGGCATCTAATGTCTTCACCGGTGCTCCTTTACTTGACTACTACACAGACACAAGGATTGAATATACAAATGACAGTCAGAGTAAGTGAAAGTGCTTTGAAACCATTACTCTTGATTTTGAATGTCAGACAATGGAGGGATTCTCATTGGAGTAAGTGTCAAAGGAAATGCGTCCTAGATGGGAAAATGTGTAAGGTGGTTGTTAAGTAGGCACCATTCATTTTATAGAGTGTAGAGGATCATATGATCATAATGACTATAAAGAAAATGATAGTAATGTTTATTGTGATAAATTTGAAGTATCCAAATGCAGTACATTTTTCAGAATGGGGTAAAAAAAAAATCAGAGAGGAAAGTTTAGTAATCTGGGCAAAGATTGTTGCAATCTCACTACTGTTGAACAGTAAAGCTTCATTTAAACATTTCATATTATAGCAGATGGTTTAATCCTCTAAGAGGGAAGATGAACAGAGTGTTGAAGGATTTGAAGAAACAAAAAACAAAACTGAAGAGGGGGCCGAAAACAAGGAAAGCACCAGAAGAAGAGAGAGGAGATAGAAAGGAGCAGGAAGCCAGAGGTAATTGACAGGATATAAAGTTGAAGTGATCACTATTTGATTGTTATTATTAACTTTATATGTCTATCATTAACCCATTTGAAAGACCCTTATTTTTGCATACAAATATTTTAGAGAGTTTATCATCTGAAACTGTATCACAACTAGGGATGTCTAGATGGCAGTAAAATAATGAAGAAAAGTATCCAGTTGTTTGGGTACTTTTTTGTATTATTTGCTAAGGAACAGTTTATCCATTCAGAATGAAGAAAGAAATGGAATCCTCCTGTTCTGACTCTAAGGCCACAGTTACCTATGTGTCTTGGATATAACACTTATCCAAGTAAAGGTGAACATATCATTAAGCCTTTAAGTGAGGCTCAGTGGGTCAATGATACACGATTATGAGGTCCATCTTGTACTGTGTGTATTAGATGAGCAGGTAGTGTAACAAATAGCTAAAAGTGCAAGATACGATCCATGTTTCTATCAGACTGCTAAATTATATGTTCATCAGGATACCCAAGTTATAGTTTGAAATTTTTGTTGCTGCCATTTACTTTTATAATAGAAATGATATATACATATATTCATCATTTTAATTTGCTTAACTCTACTTATTTTTTTTCATAGCATTACTTTCTGATTGAGAATGCAGACCTGCCAGAAGAGAGACTTTCCTAGTCATCCAAATCTAATTAACTTTAGAAAGACAAATTTTTGTCATCGTTTCAAATCAAATTAAAGTTCTGTTTTGTGTATCATACCAGGATGTGGATTCTCTTTTCTAAAAAAAAAAAAAAAAAAAATTCTTTTGGGACCAGGAAACTTTCTCAGTGGTTTAAGTGCTTAATACACAAGCATAAGTACCTGAGTTTGAATTCTAAAGACTTCTAAAAAGCAGAAGATTTGGCTGGCTGTATGCTTGCTTCGATGCTATTAGGAAGGGGATCTTGGAGACAAGGATCACTAGAGACTGCTGACTATCTAGCTTCAAGTTCAGTGAGAGACCCTGTGTCAAGGAAATAAGAGTAAGAGTGATAGAACAGGACATCTGAAAATTCTTTCCTGGCCTCCATACATATATAAGGTGTATTAATCTATACCCTTTGTGGAGTTTGAATGTAATTGTGCCCCCATAAACTCATAAGGAGTGGTACTATTAAGAGGTGTGGTTTTGTTGGAGTAGTGTGACCTTGTTGGAGGACGTGTGTCACTGTGAAGGTGGTCTTTGAGGTCTTCCATGCTTAGTACTGCTCAGGGTTACAGTCTACTTCCTGTTGCCTTCTGATCAAGATGTAGCCAGCACCATGTCTGCCTGCACACTGCCATGCTCCTCATCATGAAGACAATAAACTAAACCTCTGAAACTGTAAGGCGCCAACTCAATTAAATATTTTCCTTGTAAGAGTTGTCATGGTCATGGTGTCTCTTGAAAGCAATAGAAATCATAAATAACTAAGATACCCCCCAACACATGTATCATCATACATTCACACATAAACAAATAAAAATTTGAAAGATAATTTTTTTTAAAAAATGAATTGTAACAGAAATGGTGTGTGGTTTTTGTTTCTTTGCTATTTATTTTTAGACAGGGTCTCTCTATATAGCTCTGTTTGTTTTAGAACTCATTATATTACCATGTAGACCTGGCCTTGGAGTCACAGAGATTTGTCTTCCCTTGCTTCCCTAGTGCTGGCATATACCACTAAACTAGACCTGATATCCTTTAATATATACAAATTGATGGCATTTTCTAAAAATTATATTTTCAGCAGTTTTCATCAAATCTGGGTCTTTGCTCATGCCAAGCAAGCACTATGCAGCTCTAATTTTTTTAAGCAGTCACTTTTCTCTTTTGCAATTCATGATATCCAAGTCATCTGGGCTTATTATTATATAACTTGTAGACATTTAAGATCCTTGCTATGTGCTCTGCTCTGTGTGTATGCTGAAGACACAGTCATGAGATAGACTTGGCTTTGCCCTCCCTGGATTGGGAGCTATCTGGGAAGCAAGGCAGATAAAGAGGGAATGACAGGGTATAAGCAAAAGAATAACAAGTTTTTGGAGAGCTGATTAACAGAGACACAGCCTAGACTAGCAGTTTCCCAGACAGTGACAACAATAGAAAGGGGTGAATAGTAAATTTTACCAGAATTCATTGTCATCTGAATAGATTGCATATCTCTAACAGATACTGGTTTTTTGTTAATCACAAAGGAAAAGAGCTATAATTATAGAAACAGCAGGAAATCCCATATAAATCCAGAAAATGCTTATATAATGAGTATAAAATAGTTCTTGTAAAGTGAAGATTTTTAAAGACACAGTACCTAGGAAATGTGCACTTACTGTGTAGTAAGTTCTGTTGGATGAACTGTCATTTGATCCAATGAAACTACACAGTTGAAAAATAGCTGTTGAAGATACTATCTATAAATACATACTTTAAAATTTCCAATGTGGTAATGGTTCTAATTTCTGAAGAAGTTTCTGAGGTATTTAATTGATAGAAGGAAATCTTTAGTCTATTCTTTACAATGGCTCCCTTGGATACAAATTAAATTAAACTATTCATTTAGTCAGCAGCACATCCATAATATAACTATGGAGAAAAAGAATATAATATTTGCTTTTTTTGTTGCTGTAAGAGAGTATCTGTCAAATGCTGCATAAGCATAAGTTTATTTTCAAGGTTTAGTGGCATACCATACATAGATGGAAAGGGATGGTATCAGGAGAAGGGAGGTTACACTGTATATGCTGTTAGGAAGCAGAGAGTGAATAGGAAGTCCTCCTGGAAAATAAAATGTTAAAGCTCTCCCTCAGTGACTCAGTTTGTCTAGCGAAGCTTTGCCTCCTAAAGGTACATAACTTTACCAAATAGCAAAACCAGCTGATGACTAAGTCTTCAAACATGTAAGCCTGTGGAGGACATTTTTATGTTCCAACCACAGGAGATGAAAATTTCAAAAGAGAAAATGTAATAACAAAAACAAAACCTTTCCCTCATGGAATAACAAAGTTCTATAAAAGTAGTAAAAACAATATAGAGCAGTAAAATACTGGGTTGGAAAGATGGCTCAGCGAGTAAGAGTACTTGCTATTCTTCCTGAGGACCTAAGTTTAGGTCTTAACACCCATATCCAGCAGTTCAAAACTCCTGTAAATCCAGTTGCAGTGGATCTGAAACTGTCTTTTGACCTCTGCAGGTACTTGCACACATTTGGTGTACATATATACATTCAAGAACACACATACACATAAAAATGCATTGAGGTGGAGTATCAAAGAGATTAGAATAGTCCAATCAGGGTGAGCAAGGGTGATTGTACCAGTATATTTCTTCCCCCCCCCCCCACCGCCTGGACCCACCAAAGCGCCAGCCCCAAATAACACACAGAGACTCTGTATTAGATAAAATTCTGCTGGCCTGTTATTAGTTTCTTATCGGATGGCTCTGTCTTAATTATTAACCCATTTCTATTAATCTAAGTATTTCCATGTGGTCTTAACTTACCAGAGAGTGGGACTGGACCTCTCCAGTCTCTCCATGTGACTCCTCCCTACTACTTCCTAGAATCCTCCTTGTCTCCTAGTCCACCCATCTTGCTTTCCTATTGGCCAACAGTGCTTTATTCATTAACCAGTATGAGAAACATTTACAGAATGACATCTGCCATCATCTCCTCTTTTGTGTCTAAATGAAAAGAAGGGTTTTAACCTTAACAAAGCAAAATATATAACACAACACTTATCAAATAAGTATCACAGTTGACAATATTTAGTCCATTAACAGATGGGAGGTAAGGCAAGAGGACCACTCTTACCTTTTGAGGCAAGGGCCAGTCTTACATAGCAAGTTCCACGTGAGACAGATACACTGCAAGAATCTGTCTCAGAAAAATAAAAGAATATCCTTTAAGAACCATTACTCTAGAAGAGACAGTGTTTATTATTGGATCCATGAGATAAAAGTAATAAAGAAATCTTATGAGTAATGCTTAAAAAAGTGAAAGTAAAAGGAGAATTCAGTTCATTAGGGAAGGTCTTGAAGCACTATTTTTAATAAGTATTTTTTTCTTGTCAGGTTTTTTCTTTGGTTATCCCTGGCTGTCCTAGAACTAGCTCTGTAGACCAGACTGGCCTTGAACTCACAGAGATCTGCTTGTCTCTGCCTCCTTAGTGCTGGAATTAAAGATGTGTGCTACCATGAGCCAGGTAACTAATCTGTTGCTTTCTGAAATACTTAAAAACAAACAAACAAACAAACAAAAAAGAAACTTGCCCTTCTGATTTCCCCTTGAAGTTGTTTTTTGTTTCCCCCATAGGATTTATCTCCTGAATACCCTCTGCATAATTTAGTAAATTTATTTTTAAAGTGTATTTATTTATTTGTGTGTGGAGTCATATGTAGAGGTCAGAGGACAATTTGTGGGAGTCATTTCTATCATTTTATAATGTAGGTTCAGGAGACTGAACTAGACCATGGGCAAGCACTGTTACATGTGGAGTTGTCTTGCAGGTCCTAAGTATTTAATTTATGATTGGTATTTGCCCTTTTATGCCAGAATATTAGCTCTCCTAGGGCTGAGGGTTTGTTTTATTCATAAATGAACTCTATGAATACCTATTAGAGGTCTCTGGAAATTCTAAAGAGCTCTCTCTCTGTCTCTCTCTGCTCTCTGTCTCTCTCTCTCTCTGTGTGTATGTGTGTGTGCGCATCTGTGTGTTCGTTAGTTAAAGCTGTATTTTAAAGGGCTAAAATGTTAGAAGGGAAAATGGCATTGTTCTCATCCAGATGCTGCCAGGCTTGAGACTCTGCAAGACACAATAGTTCAGTTCAAGCAGGGGGAGATCTGTATTATTCATGGGAAAGATTTTGCAGTATTACAGGATAGGGCCATCAACAAGAGGGAATGAAATTTGCTTTATTCATTTTACCAATTTAAATTTTATTTTCATTCAAAACCATCCTCACAGACATACCTAGAATGATTTTTGATCAAATATCTGGGCAACT